GGGAAGGAGGAAAAAAGCTTGTCATTCCAGTGAAGTGCGGTCTTATGTAGCGGCGTTACACTGTAACGCCTCATGAGGCGCATGATGTTTGTCATGGGCAGGGAGTGGTGGCAGCGGCAGCAGCAACGGTGATGGTGGAGGCAGTGGTGGCAACCGCGTGTTACGGCTGTGGCAAATCATGCTGACAGACATGCGAAGCTGCAGGTGGTGCGGAGCACAGGGGGAGACAGCAGCAGCATGGCGGTGCTGCGGCCGTGAAAACACCTCCATGGAGGGGGGGAACGGGGGGAGAGGAAGAGGAGAAGGGTGGGCGCTCCAGGCAGCAAATGAGGCACCATGATACTGTAAGGGAAAATCTGCCTACTTGCTCTGATCTGAAATTGAAGCGCTGCAAACAGGGAAAGTTGGTGTACCCTGCTTGCTCTGACATGCTCTAACAGAGTGCAGCTCGAAGGAATGCTGCATGTGATACCGGTAGCATCACATGCACTGACCTCCGCGCTGGTGCACCTCACTGCATGCTAAATGAAAATTTTCAAAGATTGGTAACATGTCTTGGATATAATGACGTTGGATCTTGAGGTTTAGTTTGGCAGGAAGCAGTTGTTCCACTATACCATGCTGGCAAGCAGGCGTTCATTGGTGCTGCATTTGATTACTCGGTGTACCATGTCTCTGTTCAGGCAAACTAAGCTAAACTAGGAGGCCACCACTGACTTAGGAGGCCACCACTGACTTAGGAGGCCTCGTAAAGCAGGCGGAACTCCTCCCGCACAATCAGATGGTCCGTGATGTCGCTCACCACCCACAGGTGTGCTTGTAGGTTGGGGAGGGTTCACCAAATGAAAGCAGTCAAGCAAAGCCCACCAACCAACCACTCACCGAGGAGGCTTCATAGAGCAATCGGAACTTCTCCCGCACAATCAGGTGGTCCGTGATGTCGCTCACCACCCACAGGTCGCCCCCTCCCGCCCCACAGTCCCTCACTGCCACCTCTAACCATCTGGGTTCTCCGTCCCTCCGCACCATCCGTAGGGTTCTTGATTCCCTGAACCCCATTGCACGAGCATGCACATACATATACCGTATTCTCCCGGATATAGGACCCTCCCGAAAAAAAGACCCCCAGGACTTTTGAGAGGACCCCTCTTTGTCTATAAAACATTTTAAGACCCCCCTTTTCTGTATACACAGTCAAAATTGAAAATGCGCGTCAGCTTTTAGAGGCACAGAATCGGAAATCTGACGCGTCATTTGTGTCAGATTCGGGTTCTGACACACCAATCATGTCAGATGCGAAATCTGACGCTTCTGACGCGCCGCTGGCGCGAGTTTCGCGCACGCGAGATTTTTTCGGTTCAAATATAATACCCCCCCCCCCCCCCCCCTTCAAATTCAAGTGTACACCCCTCAATCGCATAAGTGTACATGATTATTAAGTGTACCCGGGACTCTTACAACTCGTTCCGATTAAAGGTTCACCCTAGTCATTTTGCCTCTATTTTAGGAAAGTCCCCCAGGACTTATATCCAGGAGAATACGGTATAACTATTTTCTATGGTAAGAACTCAGCTAACTAAGCAGCACAGTACGCAACGCAGCACGCTATCAGCAGCAGCATCCCATGACAAGCCTCGGTCATCACATGGCCCAGCCTCTGACCCATTGGAGAGCACGTGAGCAGCTTCAGTCGTCCAAGTCCCTCCCACAATCCAGCCTCCATGCTCCAACCCACCATCCAGTTGCTACAACACCCTGACCAGCAGGGTGCAAAAAGTGTTGCCGCCTTCCTCCCCACTGTCCACCACCCCGTGCCTTCCCCAGCTGTACCTTGATGCTCTCTGCTCTCTCCAATCAACCCCCACTGTTCCACTCTCCACCACACACTGCACCTCTCACGGCCTCCAAGGAGGCCTTGCTGCTGCTGCTGCTGCTGCTGCTGCCTTACTCGCCCTGGAGGGTCGCCTCCCTCTGCATTCCGCACCGCCACTCTTCCTCTCCTTCTGCTGCCTTGTGCTGCTGCTTGCTGCCATTACAGGAATGGTTACCACAGCACCATCGACGGCCCTTGAAGTCGACACCGCTGTCTTGCTCACCCTGATAGCCCGCCTCCCTCTGCATACCACACTGCCATTCCTCCTCCCCTCCTGGTCGCCTGTGTTGCTGCTTGCTGTGACTACAGCACGGGTTACCACAGGATCAGCAGCCCCTGAAGAAGCCTCCACTGCACGAGTTGCATTCCTGCAGCGCCGTGGCTTGGGAATGAGGGACGGCAGCACGTTTGCACTTGCTGCTGCCGTCCTCGTCCGAGCCTTGCTGGCAGCGCATCCAGAGCCAGGCTTGGGGATGCGTGAAGGCAGCGGCACACATCCATGCTCTCATGCGTGTCACACCACATCCTTGCTCGTTGCAACCAGCCTTGTCATCCATACTCTTATGTGTCAAACACTGCAGGCAGTGGCATCCGCCCACTCCCGCTCTCCAATTTTCCACCCCTTCCTGTTCACATTTACTCTCTCTCGACATCCTGTCCTTCATTCTCCTTCCCTTTATCTTCTTTCGGTGTTTGTGCTTCAACGATCACATCTTTTCAACTTTCCTTTAATTCCATCTCATCCTCCTCATCTCCCCCACCAAATTTCCCTCCACTTGTACCCTCTCTCACTCCATCCACCCTTGTCCCTTTGCAGTCCGCCACACCGCAATCTTCATCTTCCTCCTTTCCGCCACCCCATCCTCTTGCCCTTTCACTTAGCATCGCCCATCACTTTCCACAACTCATCACCTTTCTGAACTCTACCCTGTCCCCCTACCCGCCCCTTTGCACGTCCTCCTGCCCATCCCGCTCTCTTCGAAACCTCAAAATTTCCTCATTTTCTCCTTCCCTACCTGCTGCCCTTTGCAGCCCCCCCCCCCCCCCCCTCGTCGTGCCCCTCTTTCCTCTCAATGCTTGTTTCCTATATTGTTGCGGTGCCCTAGGTGCAGGGGAGTTCTGCCAATTTCACTCTCGCAGCCACAGCAGCCACATCAGCTCCAACTTCAGCGGTCACAGCACCTCCCACGTCAGCTACAATAGCAACTCCCAAGTCAGCAGCCATAGCAGCTTCCAAGTCAGAAGTTATAGCACCTCCCACGTCAACAGAAACTGCTGTACACAACGTTGCTGCCGTTTCTGAGACTTCACTTGTGCCCTTCTTCAAGGTGCTGTAGACGCCACTGAGCACGTCTCTGGTGACGTTTGCCCAAGCAAAGGCATAGCTGAAGCGGCTGCTGTTAATGTATTCTCCAGTGGAGTACAGCCTGTGATAAACAACGCTCTCTTTGCCCGCACTGCTGCTGAAGCTGCTGCTGGAGCTGCTGCTGAAACTGCTCTCCGTCTGTGAAGCATCCTCAGAAGAGTCACCTGCAGCGTCAGAAGAAACCACTGCAGCCTCAACGAGGCCTTCAGTGGGACCAAAATGATCCACTGAGGCTTCAGAGGAGGACCCTGCAGCGTCATCTGACGTTTCTGGTGCCAAGAATGCCCCCTCTGCAGCATCGGATGGGTCCTCTGCAGCGTCAGAGGAGTCCCATGCAGCCTCGCTCCAGGGATGCTCCTCCTCTTCTGCTGCAGCCAGATACGCAGATGCGGAGGCTGAAACAAGAAGCGGCGACTGCATGAGTGCTTCCCTGTTCCTAAAGAAGGCTAGGGCTTCATAGAAAGTTGGATAATCAGAGGAATAATCAGCCATAGTAGCTGATTCGAAGTAGTTACGGTAAACGGAGCTACGGGCGTACACGAAGTGGTAGGGAATTGTCGTAACAAGAACGAGGGTAAGCGTAAGGTTGCTGGGAAACTGAGAAGAAAAGTCTGAATGAAGATGACCAGATGGTGGTAGAGCGAATTTGAAGGTAAGTGTGTCAGGAGGGAGAGCAGAGGGGGAGGGTTGTGGGGAGGAGCAACGAGGAGGGGGGAACGGTATGGGAGGAAACCGCTGCCGAACTGGAAGGCTCCGGGAAAACCTGAAATGCTCCCGGGGTGAAAACAATCAACTAGGGCAGAAATTGGAAAGGAGTTGACTGGCTAATCGATTTCAGGGGGGTGCGGGCAAGGCTGCGGAACGAAATGTTGAGCTCTGCTGCCCTCCGTGAGTTCGGGTTTCCTGCTTCGGAAGGCATGCCGAGCCTCCTTGCGAGGGATCAGGCGGCTCGTTCTGACTGAAAGCATTACGCATCCCTAGAGATTCTCTTCTTTCGGTTGGGGTCATGCAGAACCTTGGTTTCATGCCAAAACCCACTGTAAGGAGACAGAATGCGAAGGCGGGAAACACGTCCGTCAAAGGCTCCGTCAAATTCCGCGTTAGGGGGTCAATTCCGAAAGGCTCCGTAGAATTCAACATCCAAAGGCTCCGTCAATTCCGCAGCTGTGCGTCATGGGAGATTATCGAGGAACGAAACAAACTCACTTGCGAGGGCGCACTTGTGAGCTGGTGGCCTACCGTTTCATATCGGTTCAAACCGTTTTTTTCTGTGCCCCAATCACTTGGAAGTTAGGGTTTGGATTCGAGCTCGTGGGGTGCACTGCCTTCGCAAGGGGGGTCTGATGAGTGCACAAGGTTCAGTTTATAGTGCCGATCACATTGGCAGTATCATCTGCCAGGCACAAATGCACCTTTTCACTACTCTAAACGTCGCATAAGTGATTGCTTCTGTCTAAAAGTTAGCAACTCAGACCCGCCCGTCACTATATTGGGGCTCGAAAGTCTTCACTAGATTGTCCTTTGTTGGATTTCGAGGGTATACTATAGAAAACGGAAGAATCATGGGTCTATCCCCGATATGGCTCCTTCGCAACTCCCACTATCTTATCCCACTTCACTTCATTAATGTTGTCGCGGCGCTGGTGCTCGGTCGTCATCGTTAGTTGCTATTAGCGCGATTGACGGCGAGTATATCAACGCGCGGATCACCTTAGCGCGATCGACTGCGCATCATGTGCCGTACTCTGCTTCGAGCAGCGCATGCATTTGTTTTTTAGTCCGTCTCGTGCCCCACAGCGCTCCCTCCGTCGCGTCGCCACGATCCGAAGCATCCCACGCCCACAGGTTCGTCACTTCCGCGCTTATTCGTGTTTGCAGCTTAGACTCCGTCGCGTCGCCACGATGTCGCACAATCCGAAACATCCCATGCCCATAGATTCGTCATTTACACGAAAGCAATTTCCTCGTCACTCCCGCGCTTATTCGCGTATGCAGTTTCGTTCGCGTCGTGAGCCTCGACTAATCCGTGCGCGTTCAGCGCGTTTCCTAACCCTCTGTGCTGCGCGCGCGTGGCGGAGCGGATCTTTCAGTGCACGGGGTTGCGGGGATTATCATTTGAAGAGATTAGAAGGAGCGGTGCATGGGGTGAAGGAGCGGTGCATGGGGTGAAGGAGCGGTGCATGGGGTGAAGGAGCGGTGCATGGGGTGAAGGAGCGGTGCATGGGGTGAAGAAGCGGTGCATGGGGTGAAGAAGCGGTGCATGGGGTGGGCGACGAAGCGGTACATGGGGTGGGCGACGTGGATCATGTATGGAGACGGGCGGGATGAAGGTCATTGATGGTGGCGGGCTCCATGGCGCGGAGGGGCGTTTGCGTGGTGATCAACACGGCGCTGCACGACGCGAGTGAGTCGTGAGTCACGCGTTGAGCGCGCCAGCTGTGATCGCCTCAGGGTGTTGTGGTGGATAGTGGTTGTAACAGTTGATGGTGGATATGCGATCGCGCATGGAGAGGTGTGTGTGCGAGGTGGGTTCATGACGTGACCTCCATGTGCCAGCGTGGTGCTGGAAGGCGTGAGCTGGCCCCGCAGCCAGTCCCATTCGCCACCCATTTCTCTGGTGACCTCTCTGCCAGTCACTCTGGTGCTGTAGGATGGGGTATTAGGGGGGTGGGACTCCGTTAAAAGCTCCCTTCATTCACTCCTTCCTCTGTCCTCCTCTTCCCTCCTCTTCCCTCCCTTCATCTCCCAAAGGCCAGGCGGAAAGGTCAGCAAAGGTCAGCATGTTGTCATGCTTGTCGCATGCTCATCGCATGCTGTCATGCTTATCCCATGCTGCCATGTTGTCATGCTGACGTCATGATGTGAGGTGTGATGCTCCAATGCGCACGTGCACGAGGCAGCGAGCTCAGGGGCACTGGGCAGCCGAGGGCAGCAGATGTGGTGCAAGCCTTGAGCACCGCAAGCTCACACCACATGTAACACATGCCAAGGGCAGCACGCCCGTTCCGTCGCAGGCCAGTTGTCTGCCGCACACACTCACAAAGCGCACTTGCTGTTCCACTCACCATCCTCGCTCTCCCTGCCTCTGCAATGACCCCCCCCCCTCCCCCCCCCGTGTCCCCTCTGCCAGCTCGTCCCTGCTGAAAGGCCCGTGCCCATGGCTTCTCAAGAGTTGTGCTTTCTGGCCACAAGCCTCATCACATCCGTTTTGAGTCACGCGACCTCTGTTCCAGCGGGCATTGCTGCGGGCGTCACACAGGTCGCTTCACAGCAACTGTAAGGCGTGCTTGCATCACGCCCTTCCATGCCATGCCCTGGGGGTGTGATACCCCTGGGTGGGATAATGGGGCACGGGTTAGTCAAAGTGCGTGTGCCTGGGGTGGTGGGTGCAGCAGCTGTTTCAGGCGTCTCAACAACTGCTGTTGCCACCGCTGCCGCTGTTGCAGTAGCTGCTGCTGCGCCTCGAATCACACACTGTGGGCTGTTGGGGAGAACGAGGTGGGGGGATGAGGCAAAGTGGAGAGAGCAAGCTGGCTTGTGAATCGCCATTGCTGCTGCATTGTGACTCCACCCGCCTCAACCCACCACCACCCATCTTAAACTTACCTTAACCCACCTCAACCCACCTCAACCCACATCTACTGGTTCTCTCACTGGGTACCCATGGAGCTCTCAAGGGGAGATCTTCCATGTGCAGGTGGAAGCAGCAATGTGGGCGCCCGCACTCAATGTGCTTATTCCCTCTGACGCACGTGTCTCACACATTGTGTGGCGTTGTCTCATTTCTTCTCTCATCCTCACATGCTGCCATTGTCTCACATGGTTACACTAGCGCCCTTGCTCTCTTTGTTGTTCCGCGCTGCCTTTCTTTCTTGCAATCTGCCCGCTTACCTTCGTTTCTGCTTTCTGCCCAGCCAGCCTATCACAGCCTGCCATGTGCCTGCCATGTGCCCACCAGCATCAACGCCATCTGCTTCCTCCCACCACTCAGCCTCCACCAGTCCATCCTTTCACCTGCTCCCGTCCATGTTCTTTATCAGCACCCCCTTCTTCCCCTTTTTCCCCCTCTCTTCCCTCTTTCCCCCTTCCCTTTCCATCTCCACTCCCGTCCACACGCAGCAAGCTGACCTGCCCTGGCGTGGGCCTCTCAAGGCGCGCCCCACCTCGTCCTCTCCACTCTCCCCCTTCTCACCGTCACTTGATAACGCCCACAGCAAACCACCTCACGGCCACGCACATCGACAGTCTTACCCTCGCTCATCCGCTGTCGGATCAAGGTGGGCAGGGGTGGGGGCGTTGTGGGGATCAGAGGGGAGTATGGAGATTTGGGGGGTGGGGATCAGTTGGTGAGGGCATGGAGAGCAGTGGGGGGCGTTGCTTTCTTCCCTCCCTTCCTTATCTCCCTCCTCTTTTCTCCCGTTCTCTCCCAATCCCACCTCTTCCCTCCTTGTTCCACCCTTCCCCGCTGCTCGTCCCACTGGCATCCTTCTCGTTTGGGCATTCCCCCTTCCTCCCTCGTGCATATCACCCTCTTTCCCCCCAGTGGCTACGCGAGGCAAACCAGTCCTTCAAGCCAAAGTTCTCTGTATAGCTCTAACACCCCTTTCCCTCTCCAGTGGGTGTGGCGGGCACGGCATGGCAGGCTGGGCTCACACTCTCATCTCATGCTGCCCTCGCATGCACATGTCCTCCCACAACCCACGTGCCATTCCATCGTGCTGTCTGTCGCTCATCTGACATTTCCCACCACCTTGAGGCCGTTGCACCGTCACTGGGCGCTCTTCTCCCACCCTTCTTTCCCTTCCTCTCTTGCCACCACACCACCCTGGGCGCCGTCTGTTAGAGCCTCATGAAGCATGGCCTTGTCCTTCTCATGGGCTGCCGCCTTATGCTGCACTCTCTCACCCCCCTGTACGCCACTGCCCTGCACATGCTCTCACTTCGCCTTCCCGTGCCTTCTTTTGCACCCATGCCACACATCCTTCCACCCTCCCCCCCCCCCCACTCCCCTCTTCCCACCCCTCTCTACTCCCCCACACTCCACTGCCCTCGCCGCTTTCTTGTCGTTTTCCAGAGCCCATGTGAGAGTATTTTCTCCCGGTTTTTTCCCGGTTACGGCAGCCCGTGAGCATGGCAGTGGGCGGGCCACATGAGGGCAGCAGAGCAGCAGCAAGGCCCTGCAGACGACTCCCTGCTCTCCCAGCCCTCAACTCTCCGCCCAACCCCTCCCTCTTCCCCCTCTTATTTCCTCTCTCCATTCCTCCACTCCACTGCAATTCCCTCAAGTCCTCGCATGAATGTAGTTCCAGACAGCTGTGATGCGTGAGATTTGGTTCTAGCATGTACGAAAAATTAGGTGGGAATGATGTCAATGTGGGTGTGACTACACAGGGGGGTGGTAGATGTAAGGGCTGTGACAATGGCAGGGGGCGTCGGGTCCATAAACTCCATAACCTCACCCAAATCCCCTGCACGGTTCTGATACGGTGTTACAGTACACTCATAGCACATGGGGTGCTATCCACTTGTGCACTCATGATCCCTTCCTCCCTCCGTTCCCACCGTATGGCACAGGGAGGTGGGGATGGCGTTGCTGAGAGGCAAGGGCGCAGAGGGGGTAGGGCTGAAGCGAACATAGATAGTGGAGGCCACACGCGGTGTGCGCTCAGGGCTCAAATGGTCGCTGCAACGTACCAACGGCTGAGCCTGCCTTGCTCGCTGCTGCTATAACCCTCGCTTGCTTATAGACCTAGCATGCTTGCCTTGGCCCGTCTTCTTCTCTTCTGTTTCCTTTCAAACGCAACACAGCGCAACGCCATTTTCCCCCGCTTGTTCTGGGATGGTGTTCCAAACGGTTTCTAGAGGCGCTGCATGTGTTACAGGGGACGGCAGCACAGCACAGCGGTAGTTGCACCTCACGTGAAGCACGTGCAATGCAGAACAATCTCTGCAACTTTGCTCAAGTGGCCCAATATTGGTAATACCATTTGGATTCCTCACAAACTCCATTCTGAGACAATGCTGCATTACACAAGGTCTATCTAGAAAGGCAGTCTTTGGTGGGTGGTTTGTGTATTCCTTACTGCAGCATTTGAACCAAGAACAGAAGACTTGCACCCACCAAAAGCATTTCGAAAGACTTCTGCTTATTTCCTACTGCTTGCAAACAGGCTAACCGTTTGCAAAACACATTGGCTCATAAAGTTGGCCTGGCAAATCATGCAGTTCCATCTCCTCCTAGTATCCTACTAACCTAACCCTCATCCCAGCTTCCTTGGCATCCCCAACTCAGCCGGCCCAGTCTAGTCCACAGGGTAGCCGTGGACACAAAGAATCCGCCCTCACTGGGCCGTGCGCTCATGGCATCTCGCGAGGAGCGAGACCAGTCATGCAACGAACACATTCCTACAAGAGCCCAAATGATGCATTTCCTAGGAGGGACCAGGCACTAGGTGCTATCTAGGGGGGCTGCTACCAGCTGGCGGTGGCATGGCTTGGGACGGAAATGCATCATGCATGCACTCCATCAGAGGCGGAGGGGGGCGGGGGAGTGGGATGGTGGCGGGGCCATGGGCGGGGGGGTCACTCGCAGGCTACTTTGGTGTCAAAGCTGCTCAGACAGATGGCAAAGGCCTGCACGCAAGGGGGACAGGGTCAGGAGGCCCAGAAAAGAGAGAGAGATGTTGAGGCAAGCAGTCCTGTGCTTGCTGCAGCCTGCATGGCATGCTTCCATACCACACCCAGCTCTCTGCACATTCATCTCAAGGGTGCGATTACACATCATGAATTGAGGAAAACGGGTAAGGGTGGGGCGCAGGTGGAAGGCTTCGGGGTTACCTGGAAGGCTTCGGGGTTACCTGGAAGGCGGAGAGCGGGTAGCGGTAGTCCATGGTGAAGACGTCCTTGCCGATCTTGCCGAACTGCAGCAGCACCGGCTTGTCCGCATCGTCCACCGCCCCGCCCGCATTGCCCTCTATGAGCTGAAAGTTCTTCACCGACGCCACTGTCACTCGCCCTCGGAAGTTGAGACACCAACACTGCCATGCATGCCCCGTGACCGTGCACTCACATTTGCGCCCAACCACCCACACAGCCACACCAACAACCCCACCCCCACCCCAACCTCCAACCCCAAACCCATACACACACCCATGCCACCCACACATCCACACGCACACACACACAGGAGTTGAGCCACAGTTGAGCAAGCATAAAAGTTGAGGCATCAACACAAGCAGCGGCGCTCTCACTACACTTCGCCCTCCCTGCCCCGCGCCCTCCGTGTACTGCGTGGGAGCTTACCTGCAGCTGTTCGTGCCAGCGGGGCGGCTTGTTCCTCAGGATCATGGGCTCCTCCAGCAGCGCCTGCTCGCCCCCCGCCTGCCCCTGCCCCGCCGCGTGTCTGTGCCGCCCCCCGCACTGCCGGCACTCGCACGCCTCTGGCGCCGCACACAGCGGCACCACGGCGGGGGGAAGCAGGTCCGCCTCTGGCGGGGCGGGGGAAGCGGCGGAGGAGGGGAGGACGGGGGAGAGGGACGCGGTGGGGGCGAAGACGGGAGAGGCGAAGGGCGGAGTGGGCGCGAGCGCGGCAGACGCGTCCATGGCGACCCCGCCCTCGCCCTCCGCGCCCTCCTCCACCTCGTCCGCCGCGCCGTGCCTCTGCCCCAGCAACGACCGCCCCAGGTGCCGCGCGGACCCACCCATGCTGCTGCTGCTGCCCGCGGGCCTGAGGAGGGAGCGCGGGGAGCTGGCGAGCGCGGGCGTGTAGGGGGAGGCGGGGGCGGGCGAGGAGAGGGCGGGGGAGGAGTCGGAGAGCGTGAAGGCGGGCGGCGAGGAGAGCAGCGACGACGCCGACGACGCGGACGGCGGAGTGAACGCGGGGGACGCCAGGGAGCGCTGCGCGGGGAGGGGGCGCGACGGGGTGGCGCTTTCCCCCAGCGAGAGAGGCGGCGGCGACAGCCCCGCCATGCCCTGGCTGGCCGCTGACTCCGCGGCGGCGCCCATCAGCCCGCCCTCCAGCGAGATCTCCACTCCGCCTCCCCCTCCGCCCGCCATCCCCGCTGCTCTCCCCCTCGCCCCTTCCCCGTCAGCATCGCCGCTCTTTCCCGGCCCCTCGTCGTCGCCGCCCGATCCCGTGGCGCCAGCTGGCACGTGGTGCAGCGTGCACAGGATGCGGCGCGGCCCGCGCGCGCCGAGCACGTTGAGCGCGTAGGCGACGGAGACGACGGGGCCGTCGAGGGGCAGCGCGGAGGGCGCGGGGGAGAGGCACGGGGAGAGCGTGGCGGCGGAGGGCTTGTGGCAGACGGGGGGCGCGCAGGAGGTGGAGGGGGAGGAGAGCAGCGCGGAGAGCCCGCCGTTGCTGGCGTCGAAGGAGGAGGAGAGGAACGACGGGCGCAGCGCCGACGACGCGGCGGACGAGGCGGACGACGAGGCGGAGGCCGCGGAGTGCGCGGCGGAGGCGGAGGCGGGAGTTAAGTCGGGGCTCTTGGCGGCGGAGAGCGACGACGCGCTGGCCGTCAGCCACCGGCTGCTGCTGCTGCTGCCGCTGCTGCCGCTCGCTGAGGCGTCGGGGAGCGCGAGCGAGGGGGCGGGCGAGGGCGCGAGGAGCGGGCTGTAGCCGGGATGCACCTTGCTGCTGGCGATGGGCGGCGAACACACCGGGTTCACGGGCTGCTCGGGGGAGACGAGGGACGGAGAGGGGGTGAGAGGAGGAAAAGGGGGGAAGGTTGAGAAGATGGTGCGGGGAAAGAAAGCAGGGGTGGTGGAGGAGAGGGACGACGTGGTAGGGGTGAGGGCGAGTGGCGTAGGCCGCGCAAAGCACGTGACTCGAGGCGCGCCCGAGCAGACGGCGAGAGCAAAGCAACGGCGGGAGGGTTAAAGGGCGCGGGGAGAGTGAAGGGGGGTGGGCGCGGGACTGGCCTCGTTGGGCGACTCGTAGATGGCGAAGCGCGTGGAGAGGAAGTTGGCGCGCAGTCGACCGACGAACGACGAGCGCGATCGCGAGAAGTCGCGCGGATCCAGCGAGACGATGTACTCCATGCTGCGCGCAGGGGGGGGGAGGGGAGGGGAGGGATGGGGGATGTGGGGGGAAGGGGGGAAGAGGGCGCCAGCAAGGCGAAAGCGGAAGGGAACAAAATAACATGGAGAAAAATGAAGGGACGAAGGGGGGAAACAACTTAAAAAGGCGGAACGGACGAAAACATAGCGCATTAGCGAGCACGCGCGTGAAAACTCACGCCCCCCGCAACACGGCGGCCGCAGCCATCTGCTCCTCGCACCACCCGCGCCCATCCCCCCCCACCCACTGCCCCACCTCCCCCCCACTCGCGGCGGCGAGCGCGTACCTGGAGGGGCGCCAGCCGCACTTGCGCGCCGCCATGAGGAACTTGCCGGTCTCGGTGGGCGCGGGCGGCACGCCGAGGAAGAGCGTGAAGGTGCCCGTCTTGCGGCTGCGGCGGATGAAGCACTCGACGCTGCGGTCCCGCGGGCCCGGGCGGCGCAGCTCGTCGGGGAAGGAGATCTGCCCCGCCTCGAACGACCCCACCGCCTGCAGCAGATCGCTGCGCGCCCCGTGGCGGGGGATGAAGGTCCAAGGAATGGGGCGGGAAAGCGGGGGGGAAAGGGGTGGAGCGAGGGCGCGCAGAGCAGAAGGGGGAGGTCGAGGGACAATGTGGAGGAACGTGGGGAGAGATGTGATGGCGCGGTGAGAGGGGACGCGTGGGGAGGAAGAATGTTTTGCATTAGCGAGAGAAACAGCGGGGGTGGAAGAGGGGGAGGTAGGGGTGCATAGGAAGGTGGGACGACGAATGCGGGAATGGACTAGGGAGTTTTGAAATCACTACGCCTTGACGCACGCGGGCACGAAAGTCCTCGGAGAGAGACCAAGGAACATACGAGAGGGACGGATATTTGAAACTCACAAGAGTTACAATGGGGTGAAGGACGGGAGAGAGAAGGGGGCAAGGGGAGCAGGGCGGGGGCGTGTGCGCACCGAGTCATTTCGCGCCACGCCTTGCAGACGCCGGCGCACGCGACGACGCTGCGACGTTGCGGCCAGTCGCGGTCGTCCTCCTCCAGCCGCGCGATCACCTCGCGCAGCAGCTCGGGCGGCAGCGACGACCACTTAGAAACCTCCGCCTCGTCCGCCGCATTCCCCGCTCGCCCCGCCTGGCTGCTGTATCCCGACCGCGCGCCGGCGCGCATGGCGAAGCACCCCACGCCCGTCAGGGGGCCCATCGCCGACGGCTGTGGCACGGCGGCTGCAGGCGGGTCTACTCGAGATTCCAAGGGGTGGGGACGCTTGCGCGTTCAGGTCCGTTTAACGCGCTTAGTTCGATAAATATGCAAACTAGCACAGCGTACGCCCTTCAGAGTCAACAGTCACACAGAGTCAGAGTACGTCGTTGTCTTTTCAATGCCAAGCTCGGTCCCGTCTCCATCTGTGTCAGTGCCCTAATGAAATTCTCAATCGTAGTGCGCCATGGTTGACGTGAAAGTCCCTCAAAAGCTAAGGCTTACTAGCATCCAGGGTTGCGGCAGTGAATGAGTTTGTGCGAGGCACGGGTGGCGGGTGAAGGCAAGTGAGCCCCAAGACGGGACGGGACACACCTGCCCTTACTCGCCTCTGCTGCGGAGTTGCGCTCCGCCCAACCCCCAACTCCGCCAGCTTGCGGCGAGATGCGCAGCAATGGGCTCGGTTGTTGTCAAGTGCGTGCGGACGAGAGTCAAGTGGAGAGTGCGGGGCGGAGGTAGCTGGGCGGTGGAGGGTGGTGTGAGCGAGCGCGCAAGCAGCAGATGAGCCACGTGGGGAAAGCGAGTTGGCTGATGCCTGCAGGTGAATCTGCTGCGGCCCTCGTTATGAGCGCTTCACACACGAGTGGCTAGGTTCGAATGGCCCTGGGCAGGGCAAACCCGCGTTGCACTAACGGGGGCAAGGGCTGGTCTCTGTGCGCGGCGAACAACCCTGGGTTTCATTGAGGACGGGGAGACTCGAAGTAGTCACGGTCTGGGGATCGCAACGCGAGACACCATGAACAGTTCTCACCGCATCTGAAAAACTTCATATTTGCGCCACGTTCTCTTACGAGATGCATTCATTATAGCACCCGCTGCCCTTGAAATGACTTGGCGAGTTGGTTTGTCTTTTGATAACAGCAGCTGTAAGTTGAACAGAAACTATTATTCAAGTACCAAGGCAAAAGATAATATTCAACAGGCCCTCACACTCGTTTTAGGCCTCCCTGATGCATCAGGGTTTTTTTTGTGAAAATCCCTTCATTTTCCAGGGCATATTTTTCTTTTTGGATCTTGATTTTCCGGGGCCACGCTGAAATTTCAGAGTTCAATCGTATAAAAGCCAGGGCTGATTTTATCAGGGTAATTACCCTGATTTCAGGGTGATTACAGGCATCTCACATGGTCGTCCCTGCAAACTCAGTTTTTTACTTTGTGAACTCTGATCCAATCAGATAGATAGTTAACGAACTCTGAAATCTTGTAGCTAGGCTCAGAGTAGTGTAGTTCCAGACTATGTCTATGTAGAGTATGCGTTCGGTGGACCCTGAATGCGAGGGTATCAGAAGGAAGGTTCCTCGAAGTTTCCTTTTGATACCCCCCCCTTGTGCGAAATCATTACTTCGCGTGGCCCCACATGAGGTACCCCCTCCACGCGCGGGAGTGTGACGTAATACCGACCAGGAAAAACACCCCCGTGCTGTACATCACAGCTGGCAACAGCGACAACGCACCCAAATCACTGATACGGTGCTGCCACGCGCACCGCACAGTGCACAGCACGCATCTGCCATTGGCCAGAAGGGCATGTTGCCATCAAGTCCTTGGTGCGCGGCGCGGTGGTTTCGTGCTGATCCCGCCATCTCCAACCTTCCCTTCCCTCCCCCTACCAACAGTCGTGGTTCCTTTGTACACTGCTGTTATTTTTCCATTCCGTGCATTCAATCTCTCATTTTCCTCTCGCAAAGTTTAGCCACCAATCTCGCCGCCATGGAGGCCATGGCGGCCGACGAAGCTGCTCCGGAGTCTGGCCCTGACGAGCCACCTGTACCGGCGAAACCAACAGCGCCGTCCCAGCAGGAGGTAGCATCGGATGCTCCCCGTTCTAGGCTAGATTTTCTTAGAGCTACGGCTACTCCCGTCACACCAGAAGCACCTAGGTCTATCGTTTATGACTCTGCCGCTATAGTGACCCCTACTCCTAATGATTCTCCTAGACCTGTCGCGTTCACTCTTCCCCCGGTTGTTACTGGCTGCAGCAAAGATCCTCCACCGCCCTCGCCCAGTCCCACTCCAAAGCACGGTGCGGGTGTCCTTGGGCCCGCCGTCGGCTACTTCCACTCCCAAGCGTGCGCGATCTGGGAAGTGGTACCAGAGTACTCTAGTGGTGGGAGGCCGCCGTATTCCACCGCCTGAAAAGCCTGCTGAGCCTCCGCCGAAAGAAGCTGAGCTGCCGGAGGAAGGTGACATTCCGGTGCGTGCGGGTTTCGGCTCACCCGCACTCACCAAGGCGCAGCTGCGAGAGCAGATGTACTTAGAGGCGAGTATTAATTACGAGACGAAGTGGTCGGGATACTTCTCTTGGCTCGTGTTTGGGAAAACCAAAGACGGTTTCCCCCACGTGAAGTGCAGCATCTGCATGTCGTACGGCAAGGGGAACACGAGGCACGCCATGCAAGGAGACGACGGCGGCCGAGACTTGCAGACACAGTTGTTCCGGCCGCACGAGCATACGGACGCACACACGGCGGCGGTGGACCGGCAGATGAAGATTGCGGCGGGAATCCGTGAGGGGCAGCAGGTGATTTTGGACTTCATCAAATGCGACGTCGAGGGCCGCCGCGCGATACGACTGATGCGGTCCACTCAGTTTCTGTGCCAGTGCGACGCGCCGACTAGCATGTTTCCTAAGCTGATGCGGCATCTTGCGGAGCAGGACACACCAGACATTCCCCAGCAGTCCTACGGCGTTTATCTGACACTGTAGAGGCTTCAATTTGATAGCATCAAATATATGTAGCTGACATTCCTGCTTGCCTCTCGTTTACTGATCATTTCTCTGTCCTTTTTTGCAGCTACGGCTTCCAGCAGATGGTCCACAGCATCAGCACATACCTCACACGGGTGCACATGGACCACATCCTGGCATCACCGTTCCTGGGCATCCAATGCGACGAGAGCACTGATCGCACGCGAGGGAGACACATGATAGTGTACCTTACGTTTCTGAAGAACCGCCAGGTCGCATACGAGTTTTTCACTTTGCTGATAGTCGAGCGGTGTGATGCAGGGTCTCTGTTTGAGGTGCTTCTGAACCTTCTCCGCTCCGCTGCCGTGGATGTGTCCAAGATCGTCGGCATCAGCACGGACGGGGCGTCGGTCATGACCGGAAGAGAGAACGGATTGGTGGCCGCGTCTTCGGGAACACGTGCTGCATCTGTTTTCATGTCACTGCATCGCTCATCGGTATGTGAGTCGGTCTGTTTTACTGCTGGTTATCTACGCTGTTTGGTTTACCAACAAACATTAATTTGTGTTCCATGCTTCCCACAGGGAGGCGTTGGCTGTGAAGGACGCCGCGGAATCGAACGCGGATCTCAGCAGTGGCGTTGCTGCTCAGAGACTCCAGCATGTGGAGTCAGCGGTTCAAGTACCTGCAGCGTGTGATTTACAAGACCAACCTGGAAGTCCAAGGGATCCACACAATTCGGTGGCTGTCTCGAGGTGATACGGTGGGCAGGCTGTGCAAGGTCCTCGGCGCTTGCATCGTGCTGCTCTGGGAGTACAATCACAAGGCCTACGAGATTGTGACCTGCTACAAGTTCCAGTTCTGCTTGTTTTTCTTGGCCGACATCTTGGCGGACATGAACGACCTCAACCGCTGCTTCCAGAGACGAGAGGTGAGGTCGAATATTAGTATGTTGTTGCTACGTGACGTTTGTAACTACACTGTTGCTCATCATACTCCGTATTATGTACACCTGCTCTGTGACAGCTGGACGTGACAGAGATTGCAAAGACGGTCGAGTCCACCACGGGTGACCTGACAGAGCGCTACTTGACGCCAGAGAAAGCTTTCGGGGGCGAAGGGAAGAGCTGGCTGGTGAAATTCCTCAAAGTCCACAAGGAGGGTGGAGGCAAGCAGGTCCGGGTGCGAGGCGTGGACGGTGCTGGGCGCCCTATCAACCACCTCGACACCATGCATGAGAGGAAGCTGAAGGGACACAAACAAGGAAGCACCTACGCAGACTGCGTGAAGCTGTGCCGCAAATTTGCCCGTTACTGACTGCCTGGACAACCTCAACGACCGGCTGGATGACCTTAAGAAGCTGGGGCCTACGAAGCTGTTCCGGCCGGGGAAGTGGCCGAAGATCAAGGCTCAGCGAGAGAAGAAGTGTAAGGAGTGGCTGAACGGATGCAGCAGGCTGTTCCGCAACAAGCTGCCGGGATTCGACCTCAAAGCAGTAGAGAGGGAGCTGCCGATCTGCGCAATCATGGAGACACACCATGAGATGGAGAGCTTCACCCAGGGCCTGTCCAACTTTCTCGGGAGTCCAGACTCAAAGAGGTAGCCGAAGTCTGATTATATGACTCTTAGACTGTAAATTCGAATGGCCAACTATTTCCGTTGTGTTGTTCCCGTTGTGTTGTGTGAACGAATGTGCCTGGCAGGAGATGGCCCAACCTCATCCTACTGTGGCAGGCGCTGGCTGTGCTCCCCCTCTCCACCGTGGAGTGCGAGAGGGGGTTCTCGAGGCAGAACGTCATCAAGCCCTGGGTGCGAGGAGCACTGTGCAACGCGCGTCTGGGGGAGCTGATGCAGATATCGCTCCTGAAGTATGAAATCAACTGGCCGGAGGTACTGGAGGTGTGGAGGTCCATGCGGAGGAGGCGCCCTACGAAGAGCTTGAAGCTGGCTGTGGCAGAGAGGGAGAGGAAGGGGAAGCAGAAGGAGGGTGAAGATGTGGCTGCTGGAAATGCTGGGGAGAACGAGGATGAGGGGGAGGAGGAGGAGGACGATGAAGTGGAACAGGCCTTCGGCGACGATCAGGAGATTGTGGGGGAGGAGGAGGAAGTGGAGGACAATCCATTTCTATCGGACGATGAGGACGTGGAGGAGGTGTACTTCATTGACAAGCCAGTGCATTAGATAGCCTAGGAAAGTGCAAGCAGTTGTATCATTTTGAAAAATAGTGCACTGTAAATAGCAACCCTGTTTTTGAGCTGTGAACCCTGCACTGTCAGAGTAGGACTTTGTTTGACACAGAGCCATCACAGTAGCTACCTCGCCAAATATGGGCCCTCATAATAGAGGGGCAAAATTTTTACCGGAATCAGGGAGTCCCAAAACGAAACGTCAGCCCTGATAAAAGTCTGATAAAGAATGTTCACATCAGTGGTGAAGCTGATTGATCCGCCTAAAACGAGGAGATATACTCACAGCAATGCTGCTGCCACTGTTTCAGCATGAATGACACGAAAATTTTGTACTTGCAACTGTCAAGAATTAACGTGTTGGTTTGACTAAAGGTTGGTTGGGGTACATAAACCTAACCCTAACAGTTGTACCCCCCTATATCACGCATCACTAAGACTACAACATTTGACACACCCCCATAGTCTAAGTGAGGGGTGTCAAGCAAAACCAAGAAACAAAGCAAAGTGTAAGGCACAAAGAAACTAAGCTCAGGGTGGATCACAGCGACACCACACACTCCGAGCACAAGCAAAAGAGCCACAAGGCTAGTTCAACAGTTCACAGAGGTATATGTAAAGTGTACAAACAAAGCAAGGAGAGAACCCAAGACTATGCAAGGCGAGAACCTGTGTCAACGAGACCTAACTGCACACAACAACACTGGTGATCACAAGGCGGCAGGGCCTTGGTGAAGATGTGTGCAGTGTTGGCCCCGAACTCGACAAAGTCGAAGCGAGCCTGTCCACGCCTCTGCAACTCTTGCAGAAGAAAGTACCTGACGTTAATGTGCTTCACTCTGCTCTCCAGTCGCGGCTCTCGACAGAGGAGAATCGACGCCTTGTTGTCAGTGAACAAGGCCAGCACAGAGCTCGGCCGCTCATCAAGGTCAGTGAGCAAGAACGTCAGCCAGCGCAGCTCCTGTGCAGCCATAGCTCCAGCGTGGATCTCGGCCTCAGCAGTAGAGGTCGAGACCGAGGAGGAACGCGTGGACCTCCACGAAACAGCTCCAGAGCCCAGGCTGAAACAACACCACTGAGTAAACCTGTGCGTCTTGGCGTCGTCAGCGTAAGAAGAGTCACAGTGACCAGTCAGCGCAACGTCCTGTCTCCCTCCAAGAACCAGCCCCACGCCTGATGTCGTCGCTAGGTACTTCGCCACCCTCACAGCAGTTATCGAATGAATTGGACGGTGTCTCCCTGGCGCAACAAAGCGAGCAAGGATGCTGATAAGGAAGGTGAGGTCCGGGCGAGTACAAGTCATCTCGTACATGAGGAAGCCCACAAGCTCTGTGTAAAGGCTCGAACGGTTCGCCAGGAAAAGGTCTGGTGAGTCTGTAGCAATGGCAAGAGGTGAGTGCTGTACAGTGGAGTGCTGAAGGACTTGCTGCATTATGTGTTATTGTGAGAGTGTAATGGTGCGAGCGGCTCTGTCCCTGGTGATCTGCAGGCCAAGGTAGTGGCGCAGCTCATTAAGGTTAGTGCAAGTGTGTCTCTTCTGCAGTTCGAGCTTCACGTCAGCCAAAGCAACCCTGTCAGCAGTGGCGAAAACCAGGTCGTCAACGTAGACCAGTACAAAGAACGGTGTGGAGCCACGACGAACAAACAGCGACGGGTCGGCAGAAGAAGGCTGGAAACCAAGGTCAGAAAGGTTAGAGCGAAGAGTGTCATGCTGCTCACGAGGAGCCTGACGGAGTCCGTAGACTGGTCGCTAAAGCCTCCACTGGCTCCCAGGAGGGAAAGTGCCAGTGAAGGCAGAGGGACGACGCAACCAGACCTCCTCGTGTAGGCTACCCTGAAGGAAAGCAGTAGAGAAGTATAAGAGAGTGTAACTCGTAGTCCCTCTGTGCTGCTACGTGTAGCAACACCCGAAGAGTGGTCATCTTCGGGGTAGGCGCGAAGGTCTGAAAGAAGTCAACTCCCTCGCGCTGACTGAAACCTCTGACCATATAGCGCACCTTGAAGACCGGAGGAGATCCTGGTGGCCGCTTCACCCTGTAGATCCACATGCCATCCAGCTGCGGATGCGACCGCTGCTTCTCCAGCTATGACAACTGACGCTGCTCCTGCTTCTTCGACTGCTGCTGTGGCTGCACTTGCTCTGGCTGCTGCTGCTGCTGCTCCGGCTGCTGCTGCTGCTGCTGCTGCTGCTGCTGCTGCTGCTGCTGCTGCTGCTGCTGCTGCTGCTGCTGCTGCTGCTGCTGCTGCTGCTGCTGCTGCTGCTGCTGCTGCTGCTGCTGCTGCTGCCGCTGCTGCTGCTGCTGCTGCTGCTGCTGCTGCCGCTGCTGCTGCTGCTGCTGCTGCTGCTGCTGCTGCTGCTGCTGCTGCTGCTGCTGCTGCTGCTGCTGCTGCTGCTGCTGCTGCTGCTGCTGCTGCTGCTGCTGCTGCTGCTGCTGCTGCTGCTGCTGCTGCTGCTGCTGCTGCTGCCGCTGCTGCTGCTCCTCCTCCTCCAGCCTCTGTAGCTCTAGCTGCTGCCGCTCCAACTCGCTCCAACTCTAGTCGCTCCTCACGGGCAAAGTGAACACGGGCCTGGAGCCGGGTCGCATAGGGGTGGGTGGGAGGAGTAGTGCCCAGAGCGGTGGTAGCCTCAGGACCGCTCTCCAAAGAACCAGTCGCACCACCCCTAGAGCCAGCACCACCTGAAGTGACATGGTCCGTCCCAGGCTCTCCAGGTCCAGCAGAGGGTGCACCCCCAGTCGTAGCACCCCCAAGGACAACTCCACTAACACCAGCTCCCCGAAGACTAGAGTCGCCTGGAGTCACAGGCCCAATTCCAACTCCAGCAACCCCAGAACAAGGACCTCACACAAATACGCTCTGTGCTCCAACTCCAGCACCTCTAGAGCTAGCATCTCCAAGGTCATTGCCACAAAAACCTCTAGAGTCTGGTGTAGGCTGTGAGGAGGACTGCAGGGAAGGAGACTGCACCTGAGGGGCTACCAAGGGGGGAGGGGTAGCGTGGGACACACCTGACGAGGCGGGACCAGGGAGGGGAGGCTGTACTGGGGGAGCAGGAGAGGGAGTAGAAGTCAGGTTGAGAGGGGGAGGAGGAACCGGTAAACCTCGACAGGGGTACCTGACGTAGTAGGGGACGGACTCGTCGAAACTGACGTCACGAGAGTCAAAGAACCGGTGAAGGGGAGGGTGGTAAAAGGTGTAGTCAGAGGAGTCCTCAGGGAAAGCAAGCAAAATGCAGGGAACAGCGCGAGGCGAGATCTTGTCCGTGGAGGTGTCGCGAACAAGTGTCAAGCAACCCTTGACACGAGAATGCGACGTAGCACCGGGGACCCGGTCCAAAGACTGGTCGGTGAAACCTCAAGAAACCCCACACCCCAAAACGTGACACAGCACCAGGGGACCCGGTCCAAAGACTGGTCGGTGAAACCTCTGGCCGAGAGACACGTGGCCAGAGGTTCAGCTGGTGAGCGGCGTACCGAACCGCGTAGGGCCACAGAAAATGGGGCGCATAGGCGCGAATCATGGACGTGCGTGCAATCTCCATGACCAAGCCTATGCGGTGCTCAGCAACCCCATTCTGCTGTGGGGACTTTGGAAGCGTCCAGGACTGACGGATGCCCTGCTCGCGACAGAATCCAGCAAGAATGCCGGAGCGAAACTCACCCCCACGGTCGGAGTGAAGACAGTTGGCACGACGACCACGAGTGTCCGCAGTGGTAAGTAACCACCGGATCAGCGTAGAAGTCACGTCAGACTTCTTCGCCAGGGGGAACACTGTGGTGTAGCGGGAGTAGTCGTCAACGGCCACGAGAAAGAAACTCTCTCGCTCAGGGCCAAAGCGCGAGGCGAGGCCCCAGACGTCCAAGTGGACAGTCTCGAAGGGCTCAGTGGCTGGACGAAGGGAGGAGGAGTGAGGGGTGGCGCGCAGCCGACCCTCGATGCAGCGACCGCAGGGTGGCGCAAGTGAAGACGGCAATGACGGGAAGACTCTTAGGAGGCCCAAGACAAGACGCTGACTAGACATAGTGCGCAGGCGAGAAATGGATGGGTGCCCCATCTGGTGATGCCCCATCTGGTGATGCCACGAAGCAGTGGGGTGGGCAAGCGACCGGCAGCAGCACGGCGCAGCAAGTGGACCAGACACTGGAACCTAACCAGAAACAACTACCTGGGGAGACGCGGCAACCTGGTGAGACGCGATAACCTGAAGGGGGGCAGTGACAGGGGTCGGAGGCAGCTGCTGCTGCTGCTGCTGCTGCTACTAATGCCGCCGCTGTTGCTGCTGTTCTCGGGGGCCAGTGTGAAGTGTGTAGAGACCAGAGCCCAGATCAGCGGTAAAGGTGGCGAGAGGTGCATACATGTCCCCGTCGACACAAACCGCTGTCTCGCCAGAGGGCTCAATCCACACACCCACATGCTCACTCACGAGTGGCCTCACGCCCACCAAGTTCCTCGAGAACGAGGGGACGTGGAAGCCGGTCATAGAACTGGAGGGAGCAGCCGAGCACGGAAGCGTAGTAGTGTAGTGAGCAGTGACTAGTCCCAGAGCGGGATACGCCAGTGCTACAGAGACCGGCGTAGGAAGCGGGGTAAGTGTTGTGCAGTGAAAGAGTGCGAACCTCTGGAGTCCATAGTGAAAGACAGCGAAGTGTCCTCCGGAGCAGCTCCTGGACAAGTGTCTACACAAGTACCTATACTAGCAACAGGCACCTTAGCAAGACTAGCACCTAAGTTAACAACACTCGAGTAAACAGGGTAAGAAGCACTAGAGTTTATAACAACATACATAGCATGAGGAGTTCCTAAGAGTTCTTGACCTAAAGGCAGCAACCTGGGAATTACTAGAAGGTTCCGCATGTCACAAAACGTCCCGAACAGGTCATTCTTGAATCCAGTAAAAAGCAATTCGGTGGCAACCGAAAAGCCTAGAATTCAGTTCATTCAACCAAGTTCGGTGCTTTTAACTAAAATAAACATAGTAAAAACAACGAACCTAGGAAATCAAGCAAAAGCAAGCAAAATATGATAAAGCTGAGCTAGATAATGCATGATGAAGTAGAATCAAGCAAGTAAAGTATAGCACATTCGTCGTACCCTCTCAATGTTGGAGCTGGAGGCGCATATTCTACAGTGCCTACATTGGTTGGCCACCATTATCCGACAAGGTTCCAGTATCTACAGCAGCAGGAGCAGCAACAGTAGCAATGGCGGCAGTGGCAGCGGTAGCAGCCCTGGCAGCGGCATCAGCAGTCATAGCAGCCTCGGCAGCAGCAGCAATGGCAGTGGGAACAGTAGCTGCACCAACATTAGCAGCAGAAATGGTCGTCGCCACCAGTGAGTGGTCTTCAGACTCTTGGCTTACCTTCCCACTATCCCAGCCGTTCGTCATCTCCGCCGTCGCCCCCTTGCGAGTGAACTCACGTTTCCTCCCACAGATGCGTCTCCGGGTCATTCTTCTCCTCGATCACGGTTGTCACCTTCTTCCCTTCCTTCTCTTTGGTCTTGTAGTTCTCTGTGTCGTCTCCTTTTCTAGACCTCCACTCTCTTCTTCTTCGTTCTCTTCCTCCTCGTGTTCCAAATCCGTCCATACTCCCCTCGCCTCATGCATCGTTTATCACTATTTCTACCTCCTGTTTTGACCTCCGCTCGGGCTCGGGGTCATCGAGGTTGAGTTTATCCTTGGCTGTAACATTCTAGAGGACAAAAAGTTTGAAATCGGGTTCCTTGCAACCGCTGCTCTCCGTCTCTGTGCCGTGCTCCTACCCTCTAAGGGTAACCTTGCCGTTCCAGACATCCTGACTCCTTGCACTTACGTAGGGGCGGTTTCGAGATAGTGGGCCTCTTAGTGGATAACATCCATGATCTTAGAGATGGCGTCTTTGTGGTTTAAAGCAGCTATGCTACCCATATTTACTATATCTTTCATCATCTCACATATTCTACCTTCCTCATACTCGTTTTATGCTTATTCCAGGTTTCTTTGCAATATTACAATTTTAGCACCGAACTAGGTTGCGTGCACCAAATTCAGGGGAATTTAGGTTATTGCCGTGTGTTTTTCCGTGCGCGAATTTCGGCCGAATTTCTTTCACCGAATTCGCGAAGGTTTCTTTCCCGACGGTTCCTGATGCATAGAACATACGCATAACGTCCTGGTTACTCGCCTTGTATCGTGCTTATATGAAGCCACGTAGTTGTACCCAAGATTCATAATCAATTTCATGAACTGGATCTTCAACCCTTACAGTCTTGGAGGTCCTCTGGCACATGCGTGGATGCAATTCCCCCTCATGGGGTGAACGTAGTTGATGTCATATGAATCTTCAAGGCACGCTCTTCAAGGCACGCTACGTTGCGATATAATTTAGTCAACGTAAGAAAGTTGACTCATTTCAAACCCTTTTCTCTACCCCAAAGTGTTAAGTTGTAATGTGTTATATGTTGGTAGGCTGTAGTGGGGTAGCCAATATGGGGTACAACCCCAACTAGGGTTTCATATTTGTACCCAAACTTCTGCTAGTTCATTCATTCTTGCCTAGTTATTCTGAAATGGTATTCAGAGCAGGAGGTCCCTAGGACCTACCGACCGTTTTTTTTTAAGGGCCCACCACCGCTCGCATGCGGTTACCACGCTACCCCGTGCCCTAGCCTCGTAGCGCCCTCGTGCGCCCTCGTTAGCGCCCTCGCGCGCCCCTCGTTAGCGCCCTCGCGCGCCCCTCGTTAGCGCCCTCGCGCGCCCCTCGTTAGCGCCCTCGCGCGCCCCTTGCTAGCGCCCTCGCGCGCCCCTCGCTAGCGCCCTCGCGCGCCCCTCGCAGCGTCGCCCGCCCGCCGAGCCGCCCGCTCGCAGCGTCGCCCGTCCGCCACGCTGCCCGCTCGCCCCTCGCCCGCCGCGCTGCCTGCTCGCAGCGTCGCCCGCTCGCCCCGCTGCCCGCTTCGCAGCCCGCCCGCCCGCTCGCTGCCCGCTTCGCGGCCCGCCCGCTTCGCTGCCCGCTCGCAGCGCCGCCCGCCCGCCCGCTACCTGCTTCGCAGCGTCGCCCGCCCGCTTGCTGCCCGCTCGCAGCGTCGCCCGCCCGCCCGCTGCCCGCTTCGCAGCGTCGCCCGCTCGCTCGCTGCCCGCTCGCAGCGTCGCCCGCCCGCCCGCTGCCCGCTCGCAGCGTCGCCCGCCCGCCCGCTGCCCGCTTCGCAGCCGCCCGCCGCGCTGCCCGCTCGCCGCGTCGCCCGCCCGCCCCGCTGCCCGCTTCGCAGCCCGCCCGCCGCACTTCCCGCCTGCAGCGCTGCCCGCCTCGCCTGCTGCTCCCTGCCTGTGCACCGCCGCTTGCTCCTGCTGTGGCTGCTAGCTTCGCTCTAGCGCGTCCCCTCTGCTGCTGCCGCTGCTCTGCTGTGCCCTCACGCCTGAGCTATGGCCTCTATTCGCGTTCTTTCCTTCGATGCTGAGGGCCGTTTCGTGCAGTTCACTTCCTGGCTCGACGACCTGCAGTTGTATCTTATGAGCAATAGCACGGACCACATCTCCCTCTATGACTACGCGTCTGGTGCTGCCGCTGCTCCTGCTGCCACAGCCGAGCTTAGTGTACGTTCACAGTGGCAGACTCGTGACGCTGCAGCTCGCCTGGCTATTCGCAGTCACCTGCCGTTAGCTGAGCTAGAGCACTTTGGCGACTGCAAAACCGCTAAAGCCCTATACGACGCTGTCGTTGCTCGCTACTCCTCACCTGCCACAGCCGAGCTTAGCCGTCTCATGCTGCCTTACCTGTTCCCTGACCTGTCCACCTTTGCTACAGTCGCCGATCTTATCACCCACCTTCGCACTAGTGATGCTCGCCTGCGTGCCGCCCTTCCCACCGAGTTCTGCGCTAAGAACCCCCCTCCCCTGTACTGGGCACTCCACTTCATA